ACCAGCCTGGGCAACCTAGTGAGACTCTGTCTGTACAAAAAAATTAAAAATAAACTATCTGGGTGTGGTGGCACATTCCTGTCACCCTACTTGGGAGGCTGAGGTGGGAGGATTGTTTGATCCCAGGAGATCAAAGCTGCAGTGAGCTGGGATCACATCATAGCACTCCAGCCTGGGTGATAGAGTGACAGCCTGTCTCAAAATAAGTAAATAAATAAATAAATAAAAATTTAAAAATGTAAAGGAAAAGAAAAAGGAGGGCCACACACGTGTGCCATAAACCGACTGGGGGCTCGACTTGAACAGTCTCAGATGCAACTCTCCCGCAAAGAAAGGGCCTTTGGCCGGGCGCAGTGGCTCACTCCTGTAATCCCAGCACTCTGGGAGGTGGAGGCGGGAGAATCACCTGAGGTCAGGAGTTCAAGACCATCCTGGCCAACATGGTGAAATCCCATCTCTGCTAAAAATACAAAAATTAGCTGGGTGTGGTGGCAGGTGCCTGTAGTCCCAGCTACTTGGGAGGCTGAGGCAGGAGAATTGCTCGAACCTGAGAGGCAGAGGTCGAAGTGAGCCGAGGTCACGCCACTGCAGTCCAGCCTGGATGACACAGCAAGACTCCGTCCCTCCACCCTCCCAAAAAATTGCCTTCATTTGGAGTCTAACCTCACAAACCTTCACCACGTGGTGGAGAGGTGGCGTGTAAACCCTCTTCTCCTAATCCATGCCCATGGCAGACATCACAAGCAGATCACAGCAAAATCCACCTCGAGCAGACACTACCAATTGAGAACACACCCAATACGATCCCCACACCTGGAGGAAGGGGCTTCCATTGACCTCTGTGTGCAAGGTCACAGATGTTGGGGGAAAGACTTGAGTCTTCGTGCCCAGGAGCATACTCACCTCTGAGTTAACACCGTCCGAGGGGTCGATGCCAGCGTACTGCAGGAAAGGAACACAAGTCAGCCCAGGCCTTTCTGCCCTGCCCTGTGCAGGGTCCACCCAGAGCTCCCGCATAGCCCTCTCCATCACCATTTGCGGAAGAGTGGAAGGCATCCCCTGCCCTCAGTGTTCTTTTTTTTTTTTTTTGAGACGGAGTCTCGCTCTGTCACCCCGGCTGGAGTGCTGTGGCCGGATCTCAGCTCACTGCAAGCTCCACCTCCCGGGTTTACGCCATTCTCCTGCCTCAGCCTCCCGAGTAGCTGGGACTACAGGCGCCCGCCACCTCGCCCGGCTAGTTTTTTGTATTTCTTA